TGCTTTGAGTCTCATGTCACATTTTGGTGTATGTATTGTTTATGGCTTATGATATGTCGAAAACAAACTTCCTTTGGAATACGTAGCGTGGAGAAAACAACGAAAAACTCTCTTAAATACAAAAGGAAAAATGGGTTGTTGGTGACATGAGCATTTAAGCTTCTACGTTATTTATTATTATCAATTGGTATTTGCAAGCAAAGTCGCTTTAGTTCCTAAAAGAAATTCCATACGGCTCAGAAGATAATCAATGAAATTAGCTTTGTGACACAAATGAGTTTATAAATTTTGGTTCGTCTCTCCAGAAATTTATTTTACATACAGCGTAAAATACCTACATTTGTTTAAAAATCGCACATCTAATCGCCTTCTGTTAACGTAATATGCGTAAAATAATATTTGAATGGTAAAGGAAGCATGGGCCAAATGACAAAAATGGCGTGAAAGTTTAATATCCATTCTATATTAATTCGAAAACGTAGCAAACACCTGTTGGGAATATAACGATACCTATCTATGGGATAAAAGCAAGTGAAAAAGCCGTTTTCCGTTGCCAGAAACCGCTATCATTTATAGGAATCTACCATTGTCACATAATTCCCTTTATAATCTTTATCATTCAGCTTGAAATGGGATTTTATGTTTGAAGTTGATACGTAAAATTAGAATTAAGTATTAAAAATGAGTTAATAATACTTAAAAAAGTATTAAAATTATGTGCGCCAGCTAGTACAACCTAAAAAACAAAAAAATGATCAACTACAGTAAGGTAAGTGTCTCCTTATGATGGATTTATACGATCATTATCATATTGGATCATTAAGAAATAGACAATAGAAACAAAACGTTATTGTGCGTCTCTAACCAACGAAACCATACATTTGTTTCTATTGGCTATTTCTTAATGATTTACAGATATTGAACGAATAGTAATGGTTGTATAAACCCACCATTACATATTTCTCCATTGCTCGATTTTTATCGCAACAAATAATAATAATCTATTCATTATATTTAGTGCATTTTACCACCCCCACGTTAGTAAGCGAGATATTGCATTGGGGTAAAAATGATCCCCCACTTTTACGGAAATACACGTATTGAAGGTCCAGAAATTCAAAGCTTAGTTAGACCATTGAAAACCCTTAAACTTCAATTCTGAGAGTGTGGAAGATCGCGATAATATTCCAGAGGAAGATGGTAGTAGTAGAGGTACATTGCAGAGTTACTGTCAAATAGCATCTAATTAAAGATAGTATGTGACTGATTTTACGCAACGACCTGCCAATACCGATTATTAAAAGTACAACACTGCAATAACTTTTTAACTAATGGGTAAGTACGCCTTGGAGTTTCACTAACAAAATTGGTAAATGGATTTCGCAAATGAATTGAGCGGGAACAAGACAGTATATGTACTAGATGAGCGGTAAATTACACATAGCAGGTTATCCTCTTTTTCTTCTCTAATTGAATGTTTAGTACTTTGTACTCTATTCAAAAACTGTTGGAGATTATCAAGTTAAAGATTATTGATTAAATTAAAAGATGAAGAATATAATAGGGTGGTCCATTAAAAAAAAACTAAGATATAAACGTATATCAAATGTTGACAACACCCTTTAATATACCTACTCTTAAGTATTGGATAGAAAGCACGTTCATCTTACTTTAGCTACGAGGGCGTTTGATAAGTCAGTGAATTTTTCAACGAGACATTTTTTCGGCCTATGAACATTTTATTTCTAAACCATAGTCTCATTTCAACTCGATACATTTAGTCCACCGTTTTTCCAAAATTGTTTATTCCTTCCAAATAATATATTTTCTCAAGTCGCACAAAATAGGCGTTTGTTTCAGTGATGACCTCTTTATTCGACCCAAAATCTCTTACCGTCCAAGCCATTTTTCAGGTTTTGGAAATAGGAAATAATCAGAGGGGCGCTAAATCTGGTGATAATTGTAGCAGTTCGTAGCACAATTTGTGGAACAGCGCTTTTTTCTTTGACAAATGCGGTCGTTTCTGCTTCAAATCAATATAGAATCTATCCAAAAAAAAACAGTATTTACCGGTGATGGTTTTACCATTTGGAAGATAATCGATGTGATCGTTCCCTCCATGGCATAGCTGAATTTTATAAAAGGCAAAGGCGTTATTTAGAGGGGATCTTTTGACTTTGGGCGTTTAACCGAAACGTAAGAAATGTCTGTGCCTTTTTTTGTAAATTAAATTATTATCAATATTCCGAAAATCCTTACGTAATTTTTCATGCCATTTGTCTCTCCCCGTAACGTGAGCCTTTTAATGGGGTTGATTTTTTTTAACAACCCGGTAGTTTCGGAAATGAAGATCAAGGTAGGGTGACAGTGACAATTACTTAACAAAAAGTGACACTGCTAAAGCTGAAATAGAATTGGATCGAGTCTAGAGGCTGCCCACTCGTAATTGTAAAACTCAATTTCTACTGTAGTAAAAAATTAAGTAAGAAAAGGCAATATTGGCAGTAAACGGTTTGGTATCGGTTCAACCGGTATATTTAAACCCTGTATAAATAAAGTAAATTGTTTTTTTTTGCTATTTGTATTCAGGACGGATTGTTTTACTTTAAGGATTTGGACTGGTTGGCATTTTGACGTTGAGACAGTAAGTAGAAACATACTTAGAGACTATTGTTTTGGTACCTGCTTGTTTTGTTGTAAAATTGTTTTCCATTGTGACCTATATTCGCACATGACCCCGGTTCGAAAAAGTTAAAAAAAGATTTCCACATTAGGTTCAAAAATAAGTTCCAAAAATCTTCTAACTGAGTTATCCTATATTTATAAAGGTTAATGTTTTCATTTTTCATTTTATTTTCATTTTAAGAAGATACTTCATATTGTTATAAAGAAGGAATTATTTAATATAGTAAAGTAGGACGTGGCCACGTATATCGTAGTAAACATTTCGGAGAGTGGATATTTAAGATGAAACCGAATTTTTAGAGGACTGTGGAGGAGGGAGGAAATTGATTTATTTAAATTTCAATATACGTAGATATTTTCCAGTTTGTTTATTCGGCCGGTTGGTCGAAGGCGGAAGAGAACATTTTTAATTTTCAGGTAAATAAGTCTATTTTACTGAAAAAATTGGAACAAAGGAATTTTAAATAAAGTGAGCTAGCCGTGGACGAATTTTGGGTACTTTACCGTAAACAGTTAAAATTTAAGTAAAGCGTTCAGGGATTTAACCATCTTGAAATGTAACCCCAGTTACACGTTTGAAATAAATTATATTTAGCTTGAAATCAAAATTTAAACAAGTTGTTAATCAGCATATGGACGATGAAACCACATTTTTGGTTATACAGATCAGTGTTTTATTAGCAAAGTTTAAAATTATCGCTCTCACGAGTAATCTAACTCAAAATAGACTAGAGCCTGCACATGCACATTTACATTATAGCACAAAGTTTTAGTAAAAATTTGAAGTCTAGCTATAGTAATTGCTGAGATCTCAGCTGGACAGTCAGACATCCAGCCATAACGAATATAATAGCGTATTTCTTTCGCTAAAAATAATTTTAACAATAGACAAACGCTTGCAAATAGTTTTTTGGCACTGTAGCTTTTTCGGTGGTTTTACATACATTAAAAAAGATGAAGAATTAGAGTTTAAAACCAAATACATGGTGTTCCAATAAGAAAGGCCAGCGAAGTGCGATTTAGCGGAATGAAACGAGCATGAAAACTTAGAGAAACCTAAGCCGTTTAATTGAAAACTACGTTTGAACATGAAATGTGAAGCATGGACGGACAATTATTATATTTGGATAAAAAAGCAACCGTAATTTTTGCCAAAGCTAACGAATATTAAAAATTAATGGATAATTAATGCAATTGCCAGTACACGCTTTAAATACCACCAGCGGCCTCAGAAACGTAAAAGATAGCTACCCTATATTTTGCAATGTAGTACACGAAAGGAAGTTCCCGCTGGACCGTTATTATATTTCCACATTCTGAGTGAAAATATAATTGCTCACCTTGATAATTAAAGCCCTGTTACTACGTAAAAAGACTCATCCCCGAAATATTTATGCACATCGTAACCTCATCAAGGACTATTCGAACATCAATATAAAACTACTTGCACTAATTGTTTGGCATGTGACGGAAATTTTCCTCTGATAACAGACCCTGAGTAAAGTAAAACTGGTGTATTTACCCTCTTGCTTGTTTCGTATGGTCTGTGAGTAACCCGTATTCGTCTTGAAATATTTCACACTTAGAATATTTGAGAGTAAATCCATCAGAAATAGACAAATTGCTTTCTGCCACTCTTCGATGGCAGAAAAAATGAATCTATCAGTTTTAAAAGTAACCATCATTTATACCACTCACATCAGCTCGTGGAGATCGTTTAACAGAATCTGTGTTTTTCGGTCTGGACCACGGTGATTGCAAAGAAAGTACACTTAACGAGAACAAGTTGGTGCAATATGAAATTTTTATATGGTTAAAAAGGGTCGTTTAGGCTCCTTATAGCGGTCGATTAAAAAATAATTAATCGTTAAATAGATTAACAAAGATCACCTATAATTACGTGATCTGAAGAGAATAAAAAGAGTATTAATTATGTCAAATGATTCAATTTGGATGCCAAATTTGGCATGATGTATAACCTCAAACTAAACACTCTGTATCTACTGGTCAAATCACCACAAAATGAACACAATACCAATGCGGATTTTGGTCGTGATTGGAAATCATCGTCTTTATCTTGAGAGTGGGTGCATAAATCACCAGGAACAAGCACAAATTAACATGTTTAAGGCTGGTTCCGTTCTTGAGTTTGGGGAATCAACGTAGTGTACGCATTTTCCACAGAAGTTGCTACACTCTGCACCTACTGAAAACCATATTCTACAAAAATGTGTATTGAAAATCAAATTGTGTATGGGACACGAAACCCAATCAACTGCATTAGCCGACGGTAAGAAACAGAATATCATAGTGGTTTGACGTAAGACTTTTGGCATTACTACAAAAATTACAAAGTACTGATTAACACTATGCTCGCCGCAGTATTTGCGAAACTATCCTTACTATTTGGAATTTCAAAAGCGGCTTACTACAGTTTCCAAGCAATTCAAGCATCCAACGAAGAGGAGAGCAAAAAATGGCTGACTTACTGGATAACTTTTGGAACTTTCTGCTGCATAACCTCAATTACTGACTTCATTTTCGGTTGGATTCCCCTTTACTACGAGTTCAAGGCGATTTCTGTTATGTTGCTGCTATCGCCTACGACAAATCGCGCCGTTCTGTTCTATCAGCGATGTTTAGAACCGTTTCTGATAGACAACGAAGAAGGAATTGGCGCAATTGTGAGCATTGCGGAAAATACGTGCGCGCACTTTGCAGAGGACGCCCTGAATCTTGCAAAGCGCATGTTGAAGAGTGTAATAAGAAAATTTCTAATACCATTCTTTTGTGTACAGTCTGACGAAAAGCCAGTAAGCAATCAGGTTGTAAGCGAACTCGATCACTTAACTGAACCTGATTATCTGGACAACGAGTATAGAAAGTTTGTTGATCACCAAAAACAAATGGAACTGTTATCAAATATCAAAAAAGATGCAATTAACACGAATTTGTTTAATCAGATTGATGCCACAATTAACTGTTTAGAAAACTAACATGGTCTACAATAAAGGTTTTAGAGTTTTATTATTTTGTTACACCCTATAGGTATAGCAACTCAAGATTTAAACCTTTAGTAGTTTTAGAAATAGGATCCTTTGGACCTGGAGGTCATTGAAACCAACCTTCGCATGGCCATCAAAGGTGCCTATGAAGCAAGCTGCCCTACAAAAAAAGGGAAACCTCAAATAAAGGGACCTGGTGCCACGAGGGACTCTCTCGCTTGCGGGCACAGACGAGGAAGCTATTAAAGCAAAAAACACCAGGAAATGGGGTTCATACTGAACCGCACTCACCGAACAATATAAGGCCATAAGTAAGGCAAAACGTGACTCATGGAGGAGGTACTGCGAGAGAATCGTACAAATTTGAGAAGGTGCCAGACTCCAAAGAGCCTTACAATCGTATTCAAACCAAAACCTGAGCGCTGGTTTTACCTGCCAACCCCCAGTATGAATTCCTGACACATTTACGTGTTTTTATTTATATTTAAATACAATATGTTCTCTTAGGGAGTAGGGATGTAATGTTTTAAGGATTGTTTTTTTATGTTATGTGTGTCAAATATCAATTCTTTAGGAATTCCAGTGGACCATGTGATTGGACATTATATTAATTTACTTAACAACCATCCTAATATGCATCATATCAGTACAGACATCCACTTTTGCTATAAAGTTGTATATTAATTTGTTGGTTTTTTTCTCGGTCAGTTCTTTTTTCTCGGCCTATTGTTATATTTGTACTCGGTGAACTACCATTTTCTAAATTTAATCTTGCAATGTAAATGATTTTGATTAAATTTCCGTTTTTAAAGCACATACTTGTTTTATTTGTATTCCATACTTGTTCCTCACTCTGACAAGCAACCCCTATCTTGCAGCGACCTTTAAAAACACATCGTAGTAAGTGATCCTAGTACACATTTACTCAACAACCTTATACCTATACAAACAGTCTCTCCCCCATGGACTCGGTATCATTCGTTGCTCGGAATTTATATATAATAAAACATAGATTTATGAAATTTATTCCCACTGAAAGTTGGCCAATTTGCAGAAAGTTATTTTAAAGTTATGAATCCAATTCGCGAGTTAAACGGTTGAACAGATACGGCAAGATATTTTAATATCGAGCAGAGGTCAAGCTGAAAGGGTTCGGAAAGCCATTAATCCCTTTTATGCTGTACATCTCGAACAACTAACTTGCGTTTATCATCCCAAGCTTGCTCGTTTTCTTTTTATTAAACTATATAAACAAGATCAGAATATTAAACAATCCTTAGTAGTCTCAGAAATTATAAATTCTTTGCAAGCCGTAGCGTACTAAATTTATACAAAACAAGTGCTTCTGCCTTGGGCTGTACAGCAAAAGATTAATTTGCCTAGTTTCCGGATTTCAAATACAAGACAATAAGTCAAAGGTCTTAAAAGATTTATGCGGAGTTTCGCGTATTATGTATCTTTGTTGGAACGTCAATATAACGTGTATTATGTCACAAATGAAATATTTATCACTTTATTAATATCATTTGTACGAATTTTGTATGGCAGTGATCTAAGGGGTAAACAAGAGCATAACTCCCATTTTATGTTTTGAATTGACTGCACAATGAAATGAGATACTGTTTTTAAATAGTTTGTGTGGTTGCTTTATGAGGTGGTTCTAGTTATAGCTGCGCAAACTGAATTTAAAGTTGCTGAAAAAAATGTACTTTGCCAACGTTTAAGAATCTTCTTGGTGATATTTAAATTGTGATCCTTTTACAAACTACAGATGAATTCCTAGGAATAATTGTTGAAAAGCCTAACGCTGCAAAAAATGGCGAAAAGGTAACGTTGTTTTAAATGTGAAAAGCCAGGTCACACAGTAAATGTAAACTGAAGATAAACGACCCAAGCAGAAAATGATGCCTGGACAGTGGTGCAACCACTCGGCTATGCAACGAACAACAGTATTTCGATGCAATTTTGCACACGCGACGCGGTACGCCTGAAACTGATGCGAAAGTCACTACCGGTGGCGAAGACCAAGGACGTTTTATCGCGGGCACAAATGGTAGCAAGAGAGACGTCACGTTACAAAACGCATTAATATGTTCCGAACTTGAGAACTAATCTCTTTTCTGTTAGTAAGATTACAGATCGCGGTCTGGAAGTTCATTTTCAGAAAAATGGAGCCTTAACGGAAAAGTATATACCGATCAAAAATGAGTGACCCTCGAGTCACCTTTGGAATATTTGTTTGCATGGTATATCGTACTTATCTCGAAGTTCCAAAGGCGACTCGACGGTCACTCATTTTTGACCACCCGATAGTTCTGTTGGCAACTATTGGACGAATTCCACTATCATCTTTTAAGTCTCTCAATGAAGCACCAAAGAATATCGGCAGAATTGATTTCGGTAAATTGCCTTCCAGAATGACATCTACAAATTTGGCAAGGGCTTAGAATGAAGTTGGTGGAGCTGAATTAGAAAAATCTGAAAGATGTCTCGGTTTTAGACCATCAATTCCTCCAGTAAAACTTCTAGGGAAACTGGAAATAGCTTTCTGTATGGCTTCATAGGATGTTAAACGGGCATCAACAAGAACGTCGCCAAGACCAGGAACAGGAGGAGAATTTGCCTAACTATGCATTGGTGGATGTTTAGATTCCAGTATATTCCATGTTTCGAGGCAATTGAAGTATTTTTGGTAGTGTGTAAATGGAACCAAAAAATAATCTCTATTACCTTCTGGGGGTTTCAGAAAACGCCTACAAACCTTCTGTTACTCATCCGAGAATTTCGCTAAAACGTTAGTTATTACACTTTGAGAAACGGAAGATTAATAACGCAATAAGCCGGAAAGATTATGGAGAAGTTCGTCGATTAGCCCTGTTATTCAACAGGTTGGCGTTCCAGCGTTCAACAAAATTCCGTGAAATGTTCACATTTCATTAAATTAGAATCTGTCACTTTGTCGCCGAAGGTATTACTGCACTAATGCAATTTTTGAACAATTTAAAAGTTTGCAATGCTTTCCCGCATAAGTGAGTAAAACGATGTTAAATCTATCCTAAGCGGAACTACTAACAAGATCGAGAAAAATTGATAAAAGCTGGCAAATTCCGCGTCTAACATATAATTGCATCTATTAGTACTTTAACCCAGTTTCTTAAAAGCGTACGTTAATAGAAAGCAATTTTCTATATATTACTCTCTTTCTTCGGTTAATGGGGAAATGCACTCAGGCTACATAGAAAAGAAAATTCTATCAGAAATATGAGTAGGTAACGGTCATGTAGCTAGCATAATGGCTGTAAGAAATTACGCTTTTCTACGTTACGTTCGCATAGTTCGGAGAGCTTTAAAAAGTATAAAATGGATTATGGCGTACGGTTCTAGCGTTTGAAAAGTGTCCACGACCACATATCTCTCTAAGTTGTGTAATAAAATGTTCATTTCCGCATAGGCAGGAAGGGTGTCAACGTGAAATATGAAGGAAATCCCACCTGACGGTAATTACTTCCATATTACTTTTGCTAGAAGAATGTTGGCATAAGGAACAAAGGAAAATAGAACTTACAGGTACATTGAATTGAATATTCTTGTATGTAATTTGAAAGGAGCAATCAGTACAAGTTTTTCACACATAAACTTCCAGAATTTAGGAAATTAAAAACGACAATTATGCTATGCAGTGATTAATTCAGTAGAGTCTCAACTCAAAACATCTCTGGGCAGAACTGGAAAACATTTCCTTGAGCAACTTTCAGTTAGACAAACGTTTTCCGGAGGCTTTTCAATGTATCTTTTGCACTCAAAATAAACTTACTTGCCGAATAAGCTGTTTTAGAAACTGTTGTAAGGGAATTCCCATCTCTGTCACAGATGGAAAATATTTGCCTCAGCCCAGGTTCGAACACCCGACCATCGGCTACTCCGGCTATGTAGCCCAACTCTGTACCACTGAGATACATAGACGGTTTTGCCTTCTGGGTTATATGCTAATACAAATATGGCAATCACAGTAGGCATCAATGTTTATCGGGTAACACTGGTCGGATTATATTTACATTTTGTCAATTATGGGTTCTTGCGCAGCAATTTTGAGGTTAGGTGGTAGAGCGGAGAAGAGCAGTCCTTGAGTATTGCTCTTCAACCGAACTTCGCCTGTGGGATTGCGTCTATTGCATACACGTGCATCTGTCTGATTTAAATATTGTATAAATAGGTACTACCTAATCGTATTTGTGAACTGCTGCATCACCCAATAAAGCTATATTACTATTATTATTATTATTCAAATAATTTGTTAACATTAAAACCTACTTAGTATCTTTGCCATCTCGGTTAAGTTATGATCCAGTTTGAAACGCGAATATTATTGTAGACCGCCACCTCCTTCAGAAGTGGTTGGCAAATTACGTACCCTACCTAGTATAAAAGCATATTACGAGTAGAGCGAGGCCCTTTAGGCGCTATTCAACTAATTATATACCAAGCCCTGCGGATAGGGAGGTTTTCTTTGATTGATTTCAGGTTTTGGATGCGAGAATTGAGCTCACTTCTTGGCGTCGACGTCTTACTTTATTCTAAAGTAAGGGTACCCTTACATGTTTTACTTGTACTTGGCCTTATACGTGCGAATTTTTGTCCGAAATATCTATTAATTTGTGGAAAGCTGTTATATGATTCAGTAATTAGGAATTTCAATTGTATAGCAAAGATTTGTATTTTGTATTTTGTGTGTTACTCTGTACAGTTGTGGAGACAATATTATTACTTTGATATTGATCTTTAAGAATAAACCAAAATCGATGTTTACTGTTATTACTACCCTCGTATCGTCTCAATTTCATACGGAGCCAGACTTAAGTTAGAAATTGAGTGGCGCTCAACCATTGGTCAGTGCAACGCAGGGCGAAGATCAAATACCCACGAACTAGCGCTGTGACCGTTCTCAAACTTGTATTTTCTTGTTTAACCCTGAGCTGGTTGCCCAGTAATGCGGCG